AAGTCTAATACTGGATCTGTGTTCTCTCATTAATTCAACATATATTTGTGCACTTACTATATGCAAATTACTGTGTTGTTCTAGGATTCACACTTTTCTTTCATAACTTTTATCTTTCATTCCTTTGCAGTGCACATTAAGGGGATCCCTCAATTAAATTTTCCACTTCATGAATGTAAGCTTCAGCTAAATCCATTCTGCTATCAAAGTCCATCTTCTCAGTGTTTTATTTTCATAATCATATTTTTAATTTCCAGAACTCTATTTCTGTTTTGTAGTATCTTATTCTTTATTGACAAAATATCCTTATGCATCACTGAAGATCTTAATTGTATTAATTTTTAAATTTCTTCTCTTTCTTCTAGTAATTACTTTCTTGAACAGGTTAATTAATGTTTTAATTTGGTGTCTCTTTTTATGTTACTGGCTTTCTTCAAATTTGATGAATCTTGGCTGTCCATATTCATAGACGAGGGCCTAAGACTAAAGTTTGAAGTGCTTTTCCTTAGCCAAATGAGAATTCTGGTTCACTTTCAATGAACACAGATTCTGATTACAGGCATCTCTATTGATTACAAAAGGAGTGACAGGTCACCACAGCCAGAGAGTGAGTGTGGGTAGCTTGAGTTTCTCCTTGTAGTCATTTTGAATAATGCCCTTTTTCTCCCAGTGTTTCCTGTGTCAGAACTCCCACTTCTGAGAGCTGCTTTTTTAGCCTTAGCCTGGTGGCAAACTCCAAAATTAGGCACTTCAAAGGTAAGTGGAAAGGCTTAGCTGTTCCACTCTTTAATTAACTGATCCTTCAGTAATCTGCTTTTTATCTTCTAAAAATTGCATTGTTCATTTCCTGGTTTTCCAACTTTGCTATTATTTTTGTTTTAATATTTCTCCAGTCATTTCAGTGGGATTCTGGAAGAGTAAAAGAATGTGTTCAGTCATCCATGTTAAATCATAAGCATGTAGGTTATAATCAGAATCTTCTTAAAAATTAATCATCTCTTATCTTGCTGTTTCTCTGAAAATCAAGTGTGACTTTCTTGAGATTAGGGACTATTCTATAAATATCCATTTAAAATAAGATTGACTAATTACTGGATATAGTAGTGGAATGGCATATAATAGTAGATTTTCACCACTAGTAATTATGGGTAGATTTAGGGTAAGATGACAAGCTCTTTGCTATAGTATCACATCTGATGCTGTTAAAAACAAAACAACAGGGCCGGCCAAGTGGCGCGATGGTTAAGAACTGGCTTGGGATGCCAGAGGGCCCCAGTTAGGATCCCACATATGAGGGCCAGTGACACTGCCCTCCACAGCTAAGATGCTGAACAACAGCTCAACCTGGAGCTGG